TCCATTGGCGAGAAAGCTGATTGCACGCGAGACATGTTACCTTTTCCCGACGACACGGAAAACAGGTGATACCCCGCATGGTATTCATGAAGCTTTTTCATGCCTGCAAGCAAAGGACGCCAACGCGCTGTAACCCACTTAGGAAGCAAAAATCCTCCAGACGTGGTCGATGGCGCAATCGACTTGCAACGCAGGTAGTGACGCAAGAAATCTTGAATATGCGCCCGAGGCGGATGTATCCAAACGTGATGTCCTGCGCAGCTATCATGCAAAAAGCTGCGAGAAGGCGAACTATACTTCGGACACAAGGCATTAGACCCATCGTTAGATGCGCAAGCATCCCAAGTGAAGTGACGACCGGAAAGCTGCTGCAAGTGCTGAAATTCGTGCTTGCGAATGCAAAGTTCTTGAGGCGGAGGGACATCTGCAACCGGCATCGAACTGTTCGTCATATTACAATAGCGAGAAGGCTCTGTAACCAGACGTACGTTAAAAGCCGTGTTCAGTTCCGACTGAGAACGATTCACAACGCGATCACTTGCATTTGACAACTTCACAGGCGCACTCGACATACAGGGTGTTTCCACTTGTCCGAACACTATCTTCGGTACACTATGTGCTAGTGTGGACTTAGTGTGACGGTGTTTCCACTACCGGCACTAAGGAGCGCCGAAACCAAAATTGTTTTCGTATTTTGAACGTTTTAGCGCCAGGGATTAATTGCTGTTAATTCTCAAGGTCTGTAAGAATTCGCGTATTTAAGATCCGCTGCGGCGCAGACTGCGTCATGATGTCTGCCATGAAGTCCGCATGGTGCATTGGCAACGTCCGGCCAGCGAAGGAAGGCAAACTAGCGGTATATGTTTGCTGAACTTTATTGAAGGAGGGCTCCATTGCAAAATGGCGGTGTTCTGAGGCTGTCGGTGTTGGGCGTGCGCAAGTCAACGCGGCGTTTGCAGGAAGGAAAAAAGATAGCTGCTTACGTCTAAAGTCTATGGTCAGAAGGGACAATCCAGCTCATAAAAGTTGCCCGCCAAATAGTTAGTGCTAGGTACTAAAGTTAATGGCAGGTCTGAGGTCCAATTAACTTTAGTGTGCGCTAGTGTGGACTTAGTGTACGGGGTGTTTCCACTAGGCCTTACGGTTCTCCGCCAGGAGTGCCCCGACCTCCAATTTGTTTGATGAATATTTTCTACTATCATTAGTAGTATCAATATATGCATTTAGAATGGTGAGAGACGAGTCCAGGACGAAGAACATTCAAACTTAGTGTTAGTGTTCGGCCAAGTGGAAACACCCTGATAGTCGCCAAAGACTTGTGCGCTTGCCGCTGAGGCACGCCCGCAGGCGTCGGCTCAACCGACACAGCCACAGATGGTCCAGAAACAACAGGTAGTCGGGCAAACTCAATTGCACTTTAGCCGCAGCGTCCACTGAAACAAGACGACGTCTGTCAGGCTGCGGAGGATCGAGGGGGCGCAGGCGCCGAGTAACAGTGCCCGGCTGTGAATCGGACATTGTAGCATCACCGTTGACCGGCGACGGAAGCGGCGCCGGATCCACGGCAGTAGGAAGAGGAACAGCCCGAGGTTGTGACCCAGAAGGCTGATCAGGCGAAGCGACCGTAGGCGCCGGTGCAAGCGCCAAGGCCGCCAGCGGCGAAGTAACGGTGTTTACCGCCGGATCGGCCGAAGCTCCAGTATTCATTCTTGGAGAAGATAAAGGAGATGAAGAAGTTTGAAGAACGGTAGATAAAGCCGACCGACGATAAAATGAAAGAAATGGCCGAAAAATGTGTCGTCAGAAGTGCCCATGCATCATACTAACGTTTCCACAGGTGTTGTGATGGAGGGTTTAGGCGGAGTTGGGCCCTACAGTAGAGGAAGCCCCAGCCAGGCTCCCACTCTCAGCCTCGTCAGGTCTCACATTCCTGGACAGCAACCAACCCTCAGGCCGCAGGCCACCACAAATGGAGAGCGGGGGAGGGGGGACTTCACCAGAACGCTCATTTACAGCACTAGCGCCAACATGTCCATGAAGGGCTTGTCCCTCGGCAGGCGGGCAACATGCATAGTGATAACACTCGGCAGTTACACGTTCCAGCCTGTTGGGCCTGCGATTGTGCAGCCCTGTGTGACAGCACACTCTTTCTCTACCATAAAGGGGCGGTTCAGTGTTCTGCATGACATACACCCTCTTGCTACTGAGGGGTGTGACTTCTGGCTTGATTCAGCTTGAAGTTGCTTCGTCACTTTGCTGCTCTGCACCCCTTCGTTGTGATCCTGCATGCATTGCAACTGGT